GAAGAGAGATGTATCTGTCTGAACAGGGAATAATCCAGTAATACCATATTTAAATTAAAGTGTTCAGTATTAATACAACTTCTTATTAATTACAAGGCTTTACTTTATCCTTAAAATTAATTCCATAGCGTGTGCTTGGTTTCCACCTGTTACAGGCAGAGTATAAGCCTTCTTTTATCCAGACATTTCAAATCACATTTGATCAGGTTACGTCACTACACACACAAAATTTTGTTCAACGCATTCCAGTTTTCCATTTTTTCCAACGGATATTCTTGTTCTATATGAATAACGTGCTTCAGAACTATAAATAAAATAAGCAATTTCAATGTAATAAGAAAAAAATGTATAACTAAGTGGACTAAAAACAAAAGATCTAATTCTCGGTGCACCCTTTCAAACCCACTGAAAATAAACTATATTCAAATGAAAAGGCATTTAATTTACTATTTGGAATATCCTTGATAAACACCAATTTTCTGTAACATCCCTGCACATCTGATACCACCTCATGTATAATGCAAAAAAGCTATTTCATTTTCATCTATTGACAGTGAATTTAATTTACCATTGCAGCTCTTTTCCTAGAACTATCACGTTATTAATTCTGCAATCAAGCTCTTTTGAATGCTTTTATTTGTACTAAGGTTTTCACAATTCCACATTGATTTTTTTCATCATAATATACCTTTCAAACATATGAATGTGAATATGTTAGTAAACTTTCTTAATGCATAAGGAAAGTTTCAGAGACAAGGAAAGCCATCTACAAAACTACACTCACAGGAACAAACTTTCGAAGGACAGCATATCTAAGACATTACATTTTAGCTTAATGTTTGTAGTGTTTACCAAATATACTACATTTAGTTTATACATCTAAGTGATATTTTCAACCATTCTAAAACCTTCTTATCTAGCATAATGGTCCATTTTCTCCCACCAATCAATTGGCTATGAAAAAGAAATCCTCTACTAAAGAATTCTACTGAAATTAGATCATTGAAAGCAAATGAGCTTTGTTTTTCTATGGGGGGGGAGGGAAGAAGCAGTATCAGTCCCCTCAGCACTGAATAAATACTTTTTTATGGCCATGAAGACAAAATAACCAAAAAAAATGGCAGAAGCTACACCTGAGTAAAAGCAAATCAGTTAATGTTTTATCTAAGAGATATACTATTCAATTATGCAGATTATCCAATTATATTTAAAATCCATATAATGAGTAGCAAAATGATAAAAAGAAAAAGATAAAATACAGAGAACTGTATAACACTTGAAATAAAAAACACACACTGAAAAGTACAAAAAAAATTATGCCACCTAGGAAACTTGCCATTTTCCAGTAGGTTATAGTACCACACAACTGTTACCAGATTTTAATCCAATACAGCTCTTCATAACACAAATTTTGAAGTATTACTTTACTTCTTACATAATAATATATTTCCTTGTCACAATTACACTAAAAACGCAGTATTTTAAAAATCTGAAGAGGCAGCACTTGTCCTCTTTACTTCACTCCAGGGCCAACAAACAAAGCAGTGAAGCAGAAAGAGGTACATAATGGATTTAGAAGTAAATGGTCCATTCTTTAAGAAGCCTTCCTACCCCCTCTTCTGAATTCACTCTAGACTAATTGTCATTACAATGATGTCTGAAAACTTCAAAAGAACCCTATTTCCTGATGCCAGCTGTCCATGTTTCTATCTTTAAATTTTAGAGTTTTTTCCTAATTAGAAAGAAGTATTTAGACATACCCAAAAGATGTTATCTCGTAATTGTTCTAAATCACAGACACAGTATATCGATTATAGAAACAAAACATAATCAAGAGTGGAAATATTCTTTAAAATTTTCCACAAATACAATATATAAATAAAGTCTATACTATTAAGAATTTCCTTCAATACAACATACAACACACGTAGATCTTCTCTTTATTTCCTTGGGGATTTATCAAACAATCTCTTCACCATTGCACCTACCTGGGTAAAAATCTTTGGACTTAGACAGCTTGATGGTGGCTCCAGTTTCTTTTTGCAACTGAACAATTGTCTGTCCTCCCTTCCCAATTATAGATCCAGCAGCATAACTAGGTATGAGAACCTTTAGAAAATACTGGCCGTCTTCTGAAAAATGCAAAGAAATATATTTGGTTAACATGATAATTTTAAACTCTCTATCCCCTCTCCACCCTCAAGAGGGAAAAACAGCAATTAAAACATTGGGCATATAGCTGCAGGAAATATGGGGGTAATTTTTTTTTTTTTAAAGAACAAAAGTAAGCCAATTACACTGAAAAATAAATAGGTACAAACTGTTTCTCATTTTGTAGGATTTATACTTTTAAACTTGGAATTAAAATCTAAACATGTTTTATTATTTTGCAGCACTGTAGAAACTGATGACTAAATTCCAGTTGTTATTCCAAACATGGAAGTCTTCCAATTCTATCTGTGGTTACTATGGTAAAATGAAATGAACTGACCCTTTAACAAAACTTCAGAGATTTATATGATGACAAACCTTCACTTACCATATTGCAATACAAATAAGTAAAAGGACTGTAAATAGTGATGAGCTATATTGGTTTGACATTAGCAAACACCTAAGGACTACAATCAGCCATTGCCTATATCTTACTTAAAGTATGCAAAACAAACATTTCTCCTACCAAATAGTCCACCCAAACTGTAGGGTGTATTCCAAGTCTGCAATAACTGCCAGGAAATAACTCAAAGTGATGTGAACTGGCAAATCTAACTAATCCTGGTGTATTTCTTTAGCACTTCTTAGTCTACCATGATCTCGTTTAAGCTCATTAATTAAAGGACCTTAAGAAGAATTCTGCCAATACTAAAAAGCTTAGGAGTCATTTATATCAAATACACTTAAAAGTGACCAAACAGATTATGTTACTTCTACAAAATAGCCACAGCTTTAAAAACAGAGGAAGTGGATGAACCAAGAAAGAGTGAAATGAAATGTAGAAAATATAAAGCCAACTCCATAAACTTTAATTTCTGACAAACTGATCAAGTCTTAAATCCGAAACACCCCAGTAAATCCAGCTTATGTGAATAAACGTTCTAAATTTTGCGGGTGTGCCATTCGCAAGACCCCCATCCGTCTCTAATGTACATGCTGTAGATAAATTCACCTCTGCCTCGATGCATTGGGTGCATTGTTAAGATGACTCCAGTGCAAATGAAGAAGCGATACCGGTCCCGTTATAACTCATCTTCCCAGGAAGCGCAGGATGTTAAACTAACAAGTCACAGTACCAGACACCCCCACCCTCGTATGCACACCTCTGAAGACAAATCAATGAGATATTTGCAACGACAGTGTAAGTGCGGTAAGAGCATGCACTCATCAAGATTTTGCATACTACTTGTGGCCCAAAGCAAGGGGATGGAGAGGGAAAAACTCTCCGATGCCCCAATCATTTGCTATCCGCTACCCAAGTGCCATTTATTTATTTATTTTATCAGACTGTTAAATGCAGCGCGCATCTTCGAGCGGCCATCACCTCACTCGGGGGTCATCCTCCTCCTCTTTAACGGACCCCCTTGCCCAGGTCTAGGATATTTAAATGGTCAGTCTTTAGACCGATTAAATGGAAAGATAGGTCTATTCCGAAAAACCGGTCGCCATTTTGATGAATGATAAACAGAGAAATGGAAATGTGTCCGGGACGGCGAGGTGCGGGGCAGGTGCAGGGGAGGGGGCGCGGGGCAGGGGCGCGGGAGCCGCCGGGTTCGGGCTGGAGGTGTCCGGGCCGCGGGAGGGAGGGAGGCCGGCAGGAGGGAGGGAGGCAGGGGCGGGCGGCGGGGGATGGGGCCAGCGGGGAGGTGGAAGCGATACCCACCGCCCGTATTGGTCCTCTTGGTGCTGCCGGCTTCAGGGGGGGCTTCCAGCGGCCTTTTCCGCGAGTCCGGCGGGTCCAGGTCTATGGGAACCCCAGTGTGGGTCCCGTTCTGCTGGATGGGAGCTGCCGCCATCATGTTTGCAGTTCCTGCCGCTGCTACGGGGAGAAGGTTCTCCCTTTTGTTTTGGCTTTTTTTCTTTTTTTTTGCGTTTGGGGTTTCTTAAGGTTTTTTTTTTTTTTTTTTTAATCGGATCAATAGAAATCTCTTTAGGAAAAAAAGCAATGTTGCTGGTTTGTTCTCACTGGGGAGGGGGCAGGGCTGAGGAGCAGCTGCAGTGCAGTGTCAGAAAGGAGACAGGGGAATGGAGGGGGTGTGAGAGACGGAGGGTGAAAGAAGGAGAAGAAAGGAGAGAGGGGGAGAGAGTGAAGGGAGAGGGGCGAGTGAATGAGCGGGAGGAGGGGAGCGGGGAGGACGGGCAGAGGGAGTGGGAGAGCGCGAGGGCTGGCGGGGCGCGGGGAGAAGCCGAGGAGGAGGGGAGAGTGAGGGAAAGAGTGAATGAGCAGGAGGAGGGGAAGGAGGTGGATGCGGAGAGGAGCGAGCGGCGGAGGAGGGCAGGAGCCGGGAAGGAGCGCGGCGGTCCCCGCGCCGCGCTAGCGCTGCGCTCGCTCCCGCTGCTGGTGCTGCCGCCGCCGCCGCTGCCGGAGCGGTTCTGCCGTTGCCTGGGCTGCTCGGCGATGCTGCTGCTGCCGCCCGGTCTCGCTCATTATTTCTCCCGCTTGTAGGGGGGGCTGGCGGGGAGGGAGGGGGATGGCTGCGAGGGGAGGGTAGAGAGGGGTTGAGTTCGTAGACTCCCACACACTTCGCGCTCCGGTCCCTGCCTCTCAGCAGCGCCGCCGCCGCTGCCGCCTCCCAGCGCTGATGCCTCAGCCTGCGGGGGCGGAGGGGGCCCCGCCGGAGGCGGGGGCTGGGGGGGAGGGGGGGGGGAGGCTGTGTGTATGCGCGTGCGTGTGTGCGCGCGGGCTAAGCGCGTGCGCGGGGGCGCGCGCAGGCGGCGGGGGAGGGGACGGGGGCTGGGGCGCTCCTGTGGGAAGGGAGGGGTGAAAGGTCGCCGGTCCCCGGCAACACGGCTCAGGCAAACGTAAGCGGCTTGTCGCAGAAACCAAGGGGTCCAAGAAACCCGCTAGGCTAGAAGGCGGGAAGCAGAGATTACTGACAGCCGTGCCAGCCAATAAAATGGGAATGTGAGAAAGGCTCTTCAGGCCCCTTCCCAATCAGGAAACTTGGGTATGAGAGGGAATGAAGGGGCGGGGTGGGATCTCGGTCAAGCCGGTGCTGGAGTGGCGACAATTTTGGCTAGTCTGAGAAGGGCATTCGAGTGACCGTTGACAACGGGTGAGACACCGTCAAGGCTGAAGAAAGAACTTTAACTATATGCTTCCAGGACTTCTAGCTAGGTACATTAGTTTTTATTTTTAAGAGTTAGGTAAGAGACATCATCTTAACTCATCGGCGGTTTTCTACGGGGCGATTTCATAAAAAGAGTATTTATTGGTAGCACTGTGTAACATCGTTAGGGAACTTCTAGTGTCGCTCGCTGCCTTTAATCCTTTCGGGAGCAAGCCAGGATATAAATAAAGCTAGGTATGGGTCTTCCCCTCAGAGGCGCTGGTACGCAGACTAAAGACAGGCAACAGCTGAGTGTACACAAAACTAATTATTGAACTAAGTATGAATATAGGAATGAAACTCATTGCAATGTGCACAGCTTATGATTATACAGATCTTGGATATATAAGGAGTCTGAACATCAATTGTACAAGGCTACAGAAAAAAAATATCGTAGCTGCAATAGATTGAAAGTCTGAAAAGACTCAGTTTACAGATGAGTAAACTGATTCAGTGAAGTATTTTGCTCAAGGTCATCTATCAAGTTAGTTGTTTAATTAATCAGCGCGCTAGGAATTAGGGATAATGGAAACACATGGGCTCTGGAGCCCGAAATCTTGGTTTCACCTCCTTGCAGGCATGTTCTAAAAGTGTCTTGAGCAGATCCTTTAACATGTTGGCTGGTTATTAAGTGCTTTCCATGTGCCAAGGAATCATTTTACATGCGATGCTCTTTACATGCAGTGTATCATATAGTTATTACTGTACCTATTTTACGAGGCAGTTTAGGTTTAGAGACATGAATAATCCAAAGCCGCACAGGTGTAAGCATTGTTGCAATAATTCAAACTCAGGTCTTCCTGATTTCAAAGTCTATCCTCTTGGAATATTGCAGGACACTAAAGCGTCAGTTCCTTCCACTGAAAGCAGGGGCTGTAACTCTGCTTCCCATAGGTCTTATGAGTCAAATGAGATAATGTATTGAAAGATGTGAAAAGGTATGAACATATTCACTACATTTCTAGAACAAAGATGCTCCTTCCTTGTACTTTTCACTACAGCACTTCAACCTGAAAGATGCCTTTAGTAAAAGCTAGCATAATAAAGAACTTCACTGTAATTTATGATATTCTAACCAAGAATGCCTGCATGTCTGAGGCAATCACCAAAGCGAATAGAATAAAATTTAATTCCTGATTGAGGAGGGAATGAAAAAGAATACTAACCCTCCTCACAGCATCCTTTATTTCAAGGAACATCTAGGAGGCATTGGGATTTCTGGTGCTTTTTAAGTGATGAAAGATAGATGATAGTCTGCTGAACAAGGGAAAAAATAACATTTAGTTTGGGAATAAAAGTTTATCTGGAGTATGAAAAACACTTTGCCTCAAGTCAGAGAAGAAGAAATGCTGAGACCTCAAAGAAAGGGAAAGCAGGTAAGTTAGTATATAACTGGTAAAAGTCTATGAACCTTTAAAAGTCCAGAATTTTTATCTGATCTATGATGTAATAGGAAACCATGATACAGCCTTTATGCCCAGAATAAAGAGGATTTATACACGGAACTGGATTTAAAACAACAACAAAAAAATGAGCTGTGATGAAAGAAAATCAGGGTTTGGAATAAGGATGTGGTAGTCAAGATAGAAAAAGCTGATGCCAGACATTGTGTAATCAAAGTGTTCTGTGAAGTGTACCAAAAATATGCAAGGATGTTTTTAAATAAAAAATTGGAAAAGGGCTGGAGTTTGCTACTATATTGTTCTAAAACAGTAAAAGACAGGAGACAAAGATAATACAAAAATGAAAATAGTTCAAAGCTATATTGTATTAAAGCTTGGACAAAGTATTCAGTATCATGTAGTTTTGAATTTGGAAAAGACTGAGAATTGGAAACTGACCAAATTTCTAAAAATAAGTAAAATATGTTTAAAATATCTTAGAAAATATCTGTCATTGCCATGTGTAAGTTAAATTGAAAGTGAGCTAAGTTAAATTGCCTTATAGACTTAAGCTTACTGAGAGTCATGACACTGTATTCTTATTTATTTGACCCTTCTCTTATTTCCTTCTTCAGACTTAATATTTAAATATTACCCACCATTCCATGGGGCCCAGGAGCAGAAGGTATGATTTTAAATGTGGATAGCATGCTTACCAATAATTTATTTAACTACGGCATGCCAGGAATTACACAGACTATCCTAAGACCTGCTCAGACTTCAAAGGGTCAGTTAGCTATGATTATGATTTGGCCATGAAGGTTATCAGAGAGTACATTCTAGCCGTTATTCTCTTGTATTTTCTTGTTTTTTAAGAAAGGATACTTCTCCATTTCACACTATATACCTCCACCATTCTGATTAAACAGACATAAACATTTGATCTCTTGTCCTGCATTTTTTTACCAGCTAATAAACCTGAGGAAATTTTTAAAAAGCAGCTCCCACTTTATAGTATGCTGTACCTCTTAGGGTACAAATAAACTGCTTGAATGAACTTTTTGAAAAATATAATAGAAATATTTGACCTTTTAATTCTCTGAAAAGAAATATTTTATTTTCTTAATTAACCAAACAATTGGCACTGCAAATTTAATGTTATTTTCTAATACCATAAGATACAAGAGAACGTGTATACTTTTCATTGCTGAATTAGTTGATGAGTTATGAATATAAGCAACTCTGATAGAAAATGATATTAATCTGAAGAACAAAATTCCTAGTCTTTATTGACTTTCAGTAAGGTTCTTTTTCTTCCTGAGTTTTAGTCTGAGTAATATGGACACAAGATAATCTATTTTCAGTAATAATGACTGGCTTTGTAGAGAAAACGCAGGTAGTTGATGTCCACAAATATTCCTAAACCCATTTGTCCCCATCCTCCTGCCTTTCCTACAATAAATCCTGTTAACTATAGAACATAAATATTCCCTCTACATGAGTATCTTTTCAGTCTATGCTTTAGGAAACTTTTCTGAGTTTGTGTTCTGCTGAAATCAGATCTGAGTTAAGGATTCAAGTGCAAATAGTGTATTTTAGAAAGTGATTTCAGGAAACAGTAGGGATTTGGGGAAGTGAGACAGGGAATGGAAGGAAGGCAATGAAGGGTGAATTACCCAAGCAAGTTACATTGTGAGCAAACAGAGCTTAATCTCACTGGGATTCCTAAGAAACCATTTAAAACAGTAGCTTCAGAATTAACCCACTCAAAATGTGAGAAAACTCAGATATATATGCACCAACTCCCTTCAGTCATTGATGGAGGTCTTTTCCTTGGGTACATTATGAATTCAATGCTTGCTGGCCAGTCTTCAATTGCCAGAGCTGCATCTTTTTCTGAGGACTTTCTCTGGCAGCTGGAATCTGTTCTGCCCTTACACAGGCTGGCAATGCTAGGGAATTAACACCCTGCTGTGGACACATCCCCCACCTTTATGGAAAATCAGGCCAGTGTGCTCTGAAACGGTAGGGCAAGGAGATATGGGTTGGGCAATAACAGTTTGTTACAAATATCAACATAAATGTAGGAAAAAGGAAAATGAGAAAACTAATGCACGGCATTTTTGGAAAGATCAAATAAATATGAAAGAATCTGGGAAGCTTAAGATACCGAGGAAATTAAGATTTTATAATTTTCACAATCCAAATATTGTAACCATTGATTATAAGAAGATTTAATAATTTGGGCTTTTTTTTCTGTTTTTAAAAAATACATTTTAATTTTTTAAAATATAAGACATGAAGAATCAATGTACATATTCTGATTATTTTTTCATCCAATGCACTACAAAGAATATAGAAGCAAGTATATACTGAAGAGTTTATCACCTAATCCCACATCTTGGGGTTGTGTAACAAGTTCTATAAATAGACATATTGATTAGAAATACTTTTCTGAGATTGCACTTCTTAGAAAATGATTTATTAAACTTTATCTTCTTAAAAATTCAAACAGCTTTTATGTTTATGTATTTAATCACATAAATTCACAGTTGGCAAATATGTTTATGAAACAGTATATGAAAGCTCACCCTAATTTATATAGAAACATAAATGTGTTATTAGCATTATTCCAAAAAGTCCCCAAGCCTTAATATTCCAGTTGCGATTATGTCGTCCCGGTAGATAAAGAGATATGTTAATGTTAGAAAGAATCCTAAATTTTTTGGCACTGAGTATATTTCCTTGGTCTGTAATAGATGGATAATTTTTCTAGCATTTTTCTACATATTATAAAATACATCTTTCCGCACTTACCTTAAAGACAATAAACCTGAACTCACACTTACACAGTGCAATAAAAAGAACCTGGTGATAATTGGTACATGTTTATGTAAAAGATAAGTGTTAGGAGAATCTGCATGAGGGCTATAAGGGAATTTTTATCTTTGCAACTTTTTGAATTATTTCAAAATAAAAAGTTTAAAAAAAAGAACCTTGAACTGATATTCTGGTTCTGACTCTTCTACCTACTAACTTTGTGGCCTAGAGTAACTCATTTGCCTGCTCTGATTTTCAGTTTCTTAATCTATAAAATGGGAGAGTTGGTAGATGTTCTTTACATCTCTAAAAACCAATTTCTATCTCAGTATGTTTATGACCATTCATAGAATCTTACAAAGAAAATTGTCAACATCAAAGTACATACTGTGTGCATTAACATGTATTTTTAAATCTGTTAATAATACACATTTTGAAGATGTGCTTTAGACACAATGGAAAATAATATACCAAGGAAAACAATTTGGTACGGTAAAGAGTATATTTGATATATTCTCTGTGTTTTTGCATTTTAAAAGCAATCATTCATTGAAGTCTATAGTTAAGATATTTTACTGGCACCACAATTCAAAATGTGACCGTTTCATCTTTTAAGCCATTTGAATATGAAGAATTGCTGGAGTAAAACAGTAAATGATAAAGAGGTTAGGATGATAAACAGAAAAAATTAGGAAAAACAAGAACTTCAAAAGAAGATTAAGGAAACCATAATTAATATTCATGTATTATATCAACTAAGTTGAAATTACTTATCTGTTACATGCATAAAACATCTTCATCTGAAG